CTCCATCATTCATACTCTCATACTACCATCTGACGTCAGAAGAAAGTTTCTTTAGACAATCGAACAGTCTGGTAAGCGACCATTATCGACTACTAAAGTGGTAAAATTATTCTGAAGGATTCCCCGGACGATCCTTACCATAAATTTCATAAAGAACTGGCGCATTTCTCAAGTACGTCTCTTCAGTATCAGCGTGCATATAAACTTCTTTGCAGAATCTACACTAGCTGTAATAGTCGTCCCAGAGAATTAACCCCATGGATCAGATTACTTCTTGAGAAGCTAATAGTTGCTCAGAGGGCCAAGAAATTTGTAGACACATATGTAGCCCAAAGGTTCAATATTGTGTTCACAGAAGTCCGCCACTAAATTCTATTCCGAGCCAGATGAAACCAGTTCATGTCATCCTAGATGTCATTAATTTATGTCATTAATAGAAATGATGGCATGTACTGTCTTCGTTCACTTGGAAACCGGGATCGTGGGTTCGAATCCCACTCAGGGCATGGATGTTTAGTTTGTGTGTGCGCGTTTTTCTGCGTTTGTGTACAGGTAGAGGCCTTGCGACGAGCTGATCACCCGCCCAAGGAGTCCTACCGAATGTGTAAGATCTAGAAAAACCGAAGTGAACGGAGAAGTTCATGGAGGTAGGCCTAGGCCCACTGGGGCTGTAGTACCAAGGGGGGAAAAATAGAAATGATACGTTGCAAAGCCGATTTGTCCCTGCAGATTAGTTAACGATAACGTACGTACGAGTACGTTGAATGCGGGTTGATACGAAGCGATTCAAGGCCGCGACACCATTCATCCGGAGGTTTCTGGTGTTTATTCTTGTCACTACAGCCGAATACGAAGAGACTGTTTGAAATCGTCCATCACCATTTCATCGTCTATTATTCCCAATCCATTGTATAAAACTATGAAACATTCAGCAAATGAATGTTTCCATTTTCAGGGTAAAAGAATTATGGTCCTCTCTCTACCAGACTACATGGTGTCCTTGTTCATTTTCAGTCTCTTTAAAGACGTGGTAAGTAACAAGATTAAACAATGTTGGATTTTTAGATAAACTCCGTGGCTTTTAGTCCGCAAGCGAACTATACCGACCGAGCGACCGCCGCTTGTCGGCGAAGTTAGTGCCAACTTTAGCGGATAGAGAGTGTCGCGTGGTCAACGCAGCGGATTCCCGCGGCCGTTAATCTCGGGTTTCTAGACCGGATGATTTCTAGATAATAGTGAATAATTAATTGGAAAGTATGTGCAAGGAAGTGATAGTGGCGTGAGTTTAAGCCGCTCTACTGGAATATGCTTATGGAGACAGGAAATCCACGAGAAACTTCAATCAGTACAGTCGGTATTCCAGACGAAATTCGAACCGGGCACCTATTCCAATACAATCCAGGCGTTGCCTATTGAGCCGACTTTCTATGTTACACTTTTCTGGGCTTTCGTCTTTTATTTATAGAACTTTAATAGCAGAGAGATATACCAGCAAGCAAAAATTGTAACACAGAGATGTTGTGAATCTCCTGGCATTCAAGATGCTGACGATATCTGCCACTGGCCATGAACAGAACCGTGTATCGTAGTTACTATACAAGAAACTTTCTTCCGAATCGATGTACACAAAATTGAAATGTTCCAGACAACGTTTAACGTAAATTCCTCAATACCAAAAGTGTTGGAACTCGGTTAATAATTTTCGAACATAAAGCATGCGTACGGACAGACACGAGCCTCCATGACACATAATACATCGTGAAAATGACAATAAAAAGGCATGTAGTTTGAAAAAAATTGATAAAATAAGAGAGAGACTAAGACACCAAGAGTGATACTGAAAAGAAAACATAAGACTGTACTTTGAAAGAATAAATCGCAGTGTGACACAAGCGGAAAAAGAAAAATAGAAAGTCGTTGTATGTTTCTGGCTAGAGAAGGCGACAGAAGGCGAAACGTTTGTGTGGGTTTGTTTGCTTCTCTTGAATCATTGATTACGAGAACACGCCGAGCTATGCTGAGAGCAGCTGAAAGGTTGCCCGCAGCAGACAGCTCCTCTCTCGGTGAGTCAAAGAACCAAGAGGAACAAAACTGCCATTCTTATTGACCAGTTTCGATTCTGCAGACCAATACTCGTCCTCCCAGGATCCTGCTCCTGATATCAAAGATCTCTGGGTTCTCATAAATACATTTTTTTTTCCATACCAAGTTTCCTGTCCTTCCGGTGAGAGAAATAATTTTAAAGTGTAACTGCTTTTAAAAAAACAGGGTGCTGAGGAGAATATTTGGTCATAAATGAGATGAAATAACAGGATATAAAAATACATAAATAATTTCATATTCTTAATCTTTCACCTAATATTACTAATTGGTCAAATGAAGAGATGGTTGGACTTGCAGCACGTGTGGAAGAAATGAGAAAAGGATAGAAAATTTTAGTTTGAAAACCTTATATGAAGAAGCTGCTTCAGAGACTTGAGAGGAAACAATTAAAATTGGCTTCAATGAAGTTGGATGTTAGGTTGTGAACTGAATTCAACTGTAATTCTGTATTTCAGCATCCTGTTGCAAAATTTTAATTTAACATCTATGTATCCACAGTCCAGCAATAATCCAACAATTGTTTATTCACCATTTAACACTTGTAGTGTAACAGTTTGGATGCATTCAGACACCTGAAGATGGCCATCTATGGCCGAAACATATTGTGTTAAGTGTTAAATGGTGAATAAATAATCATTGCATTATTGACAGACTCTGGATACATAGACATTTAATGAATTCAACTGGCTCAGGATTGGATAGAATAGCAAACTCTTGTGAACATGCTAATAAATCTTTGGGTTCCATAAAAAGCGGAGAATTGTGGCTTGCTAAATGACTGTTATGTTATGAAATTTCTGTAAGACTCTATTTCATGAAGTTGGAAGTGATTGTTGGCCCATCTAGTATGTGTCATAAGCTGTTTGGAATAAATATTAAAGTATGTATTATGAACTGTTCATTAAGAGTTAGACAAAATGTGAGGTGTTGTATACAACCGTTGAGGAAACATGCAAACAGAAAGTATGACTGGAAAACCTCTGGATTAGACTATTTACAAGACCTGTGCACAGATGGGAAGATAATATTAAAATTAGCGTTATGAAAAACAGCTGGATTTCAGTAACTTGAAATACGACCCAGTTGTGAGTTTTTGTGAACATCATGATGCCGTAAAGCAGAGAATTTCTTAGCCTGTCGAATAACTATCATCAGCTTAAAGCAGACAGTGTATCATTGAGTTTAAATATTCAGCTAAGTATAAGGCAATTGTGGACCACTTACGATGCTATGATTGATTTCATTCTACAATTATTTAATGATGTCTTTCAACTGGTGAGATTAAGTCTATATAGCATTGAATTACATGAGAAGATCACAGTGGATAGTGAAGAAAACCCACAAGAAACGGTGTTAACAAGATAACAACCTGCTGAGTAAGGTGCTGCCATCAATTAGGGAAAATGGAAGACAGAAGTCTTCTAAGGCTGATTATGGGTAAATGGCAAAGTTCAGCAAACATGTTATGTTGACTTGGGACAGAATTTGACATGGAAAAAATTTTATATTATAGCTTACATGTTTAAAATTAACAACTGTAATTAATTTCAGTGTAGATCCCTTCAAAAAGCATTTTTAAAAATAATTTTTGGCATTGTAAGAAATGTTGAGTATATTAACATCGTTAAAATATTCATATTACTAAAGAAAAATGTCCACTTCATTGATATAATGAAGTTATATATTTTCACAGCACTCGGGTTCTTTTAATTGGCCTAGTTAAGTGCAACCCATAGTTCAGCTGAATCCAGTTCTTATTGTATGCATAAAAATTCATTAACAATTCTGCAATTCATAATCATAACACGTGCCAAAAGTTGAACCTCCATGTTCATTTTTGTAGAACAAATGCCCTCAAGAGATGTGTAATGAATATGAGAATCAAATAAAATTATGGAATTTAAGTCATTCACATATGCTGTAAATAAGAGATGCAAGGATACATCTGAAGAAAATTACAAGTTGAACACAAAGGATCTCACAAATGAAATTTTCCTCAGTGTAAATAGCATACTATTAAGTTATAATGTCACTTACAGAACCAGCTCCTTGCAGCTTTTAAGATTTCACTTCAACATTATCTGCGCTGTGCACTCCTGTTTCAGAAAACACTCTAGCCTGCAAATGGAAGCACTCATCATTGCAGTGAATTTATGATAAATGTTCGTTTCATTGCTTAACTAACAAAATTGCAAGGGCAAACAATATTTTTATGAAGACAGACTACCCCAGGAGCAAGTAATATATGGTTTCACCACATTTGAAGCTACAATCAGGAAGGGTTTTTAGACCAGACATCTAGGTTGCAGGTGAGAAGTGTGGCAGTGTGGGGCAGTTACTGCAGCTGCACTGTCAGAGGGAAGGTGATGCACTGTAACTAAGGCCTGTTATTCCCCCCCCCCCACACACACACACACACCCTGCACATTATGTAGAGCACAGTCAGGCATAATAACATGGAGAGTACTTTACATGAGGTCAGTGGTATGCCCAAAATTTCTTTGTGTTGCTGTGGTTAACTTCTCCAGCTTGCCTTTTGACTGAGTTGCCTTTTCATGAGACTAGGGAGTCTGACAGTGCAGAGAAACGATTGCAATAATAGTAGTAGCATCTGCACCAGATGGTTAATACTACTTCCCCAACTCTTAAAAGTGATCTCCCTTCAATATCACTTAATAAGTTGATTACTCTTGTAGTGAAGGTAGGAAACGTAGGTGAACTTCTACCTGACTCAATTTCGTCACATCCCAGTTGATCTGTTGACAAAAATCGTATTCCCGCCACATTGGGCCCACTACCATCTGACCTAAGGAATCTCCATTAATTAAATTCAAATATGGCGCATCCACACCTTTGACGTAAAAGAGAAAATAGACCTTTTGCGCCACTAGCGTTTAGTTGTACAACTAAAGATTTCAAAGACAGGAATACTCATCTGGAGCGATATATTGGGCGCTATGTATGGAAACTAATTGAAGATGAATGCACCAGAACGAGAGAAGATATGTCGTTTGTGCTTATCTGACACTGGGGTTATATTGCCAATTTTCGAAGGAGAAATAGCCGAAAGATTTTCAGTACCCTTGCCGATGAAAATTCTGGCTTGTGTTTCAATTGAAGTAAGTAATTTTACCCGTTGTGGAAAGAAGACTGTACTTGTGTTGTAATAAACGCGAATTATTCGCGTTTGTATGACATGTATTGAATGAATATATGTAGTATCATTGATTAGAGCTGTCATATAATTAACACTGAGCATTGAATTAAAAATGTTGGAAGCCGCGAATGATAGTCACGTTGTCATCTGAATGAACGAAGTTGTGTTTAGAACATTTTCTGTCACCATTAACCGACTGACTGTTTTCTTTTCTCAGTTTTACAATTCTGGCATAAGTCGTGAAAGTCTGTTTACGAACATCAGAGAACTAACCCCTAATGTGGTATAGAACATGTGAGGAGGGGTTTGATTATGTTTAATGATAGAACCTTGTAGTAGTTTGCAAAAGTACGAGTATGTGAGACAGTGTACAGAAGCACATAATAATGATGTGCCTTGTGTTCACTAATAATACCTGAGTTACAGTTTTCATTCACTTACAAAATGCCACGACATGAATATTTAGCTTTCTGCATTCATGTTACAGTGAGTTTAGAGTAAGTGTACTTATAGTAAAATTAAAGGGTTTATTCAGTCAAAGTCCTTGTGTCAGTATTTTATTTTAATTTAGGATTCTATACCAAAAGTAGGGCAAGGTTTTGGATTCATGTAATGAGAGAACACATAGTCTGTCCCATCTGCTCAGAAGTGGCCACTACTCTAATGTTAGGTTAGGTTGTGAGTTAATATCTTAAAAAGATATAGTTTAGTCACTCATAAATATGTATGACCACTGTTTAAATGGCAGCATATCTTTGCTATAAAAGTTGCCTTAATTATTTCCACCATATTGGAGACTAAGAAATAAGAATAAGCCTCATCTTTTTCTTCCTTTCCTTTTATAAGAACAGCATGTAATATTCGGTTAATACACAGCTCTGCAGGACCTGTTGTCACAAAGAGTGTGGTAGAGATGTGCATTCTGTACATAAACATAGCCTTTTTAAATACCTAGACATCATAGAAGGAGCTTTCTTTCACATCCTCTTCATGTTTTAATGTTATGGTACTTTGCCTCAGTGTTGACTTTTACAAAATTACTGGTATCATTTGGGGGGCACGTGGTAGTAGGGTAGTTGGTTAAGGCACTATGCTACAAGCCTAAAGGTCATGGGTTCAAGTCCCGATGAGGTCATTGGAGTTTTTTTTCAATTTACCTAATCCTTCCAGCTGCACTATGGCCCTGGAGTCGACTCAGCCTCTAACAGAAATGAGTACCAGGAATATTCTTGGGGGTAAAGAGTGGCTGGTACGTAGGGCTGACAACATTACCACCATCTATGAGGTGATTGTCTAGAAAATGTGGGAACCTCAACATCTCTCAACCCTGTGGGTCTCCACAGCCTGTTACAGGGATACCTTTACTTTTTTACTGGTATAGTTTGTTTTGTTTTTATCATTCCTAATGGCCCCGCCCTCAAATTGTGTGTGATGAGTGTGCCACTTACCGTTATTGTCAAATCCCTATTACATATGTTTGAAGCAACTGAAACTTGTACAGTTTAAAAAGTACTAGAATTTCCAAACAAAAAAAAAAAAATGCCAAATGCAATGCTTTTCAGCTGGCATTCATATTCCATTGCATCATCTGAAGAAGGCTGGTGTAACAGTAATGCGTCAGACTTATATTTGGGAGGTACATGGTTTGAATTTAAGCTGGGCTACTAGGCATGCTGTCAAGTAGGTTGGCAGTAGTGGTAACATTCTGGACTTCCTTTTGGAAGGTGCTCACTTCAAATGTAGTCTGGAACACGGGGTACCCTGACCGAGGACTGACTTGTCCAATTGTACTTGTGTAACAGTTTATGGATGTAAATAAATTATGAATTATGGTTTTCTTCAGTCCCTCTACATAAATTTCAGGATTGTAGATTGATTATGCCATGAGCACTTCCTTCCAAATCCTTCCTAGTTCACCAATCATCGTGTTATTTGATGCTATACAGTCTGAGGTACAGAAAAAATGACAGGTATGACAACTGTGTGCTTTATGATTTTCTTTTGTTCATCCAGGCACATTCTGACTTAGTACTTTCAAATAGGCCATAACGATTCCTTCGAAACCTTATGTCCTTTCCACTTGTTTTCACGTTTCCCACTCATTGAACACTATGTAATTCAACCAGTTGGATGCATTGATAAATAGCCTAAGAATCAGTCAAGCATGATCTGACACAGTTTTCATCCACAATGTGTATTATAGGTGTCTGCAAGCGATCCTCTCCCAAGTTTAATTTGCCACCGTTGTTTGTATGAAGTGGATCGCTTTCATGAATTCAAGGAGACCTGTGAGAAGGCCAATACCACCTTACAACAATGCTTTAACAAACGAAGTAATATCATGGATCTCACAAAGGTAACAGAATATTTTATTATAAAATATTTTTATTTTCTTTTTATTGCTAGTGGGGTTGGTCTAAGTCCCTTGTACTGCGGCCACTTCTGGCCTATTGTACCAGCCCCAGATGATAGGTGAGGGTGATTGTGGAGCAATTGGTGGAATGAAGATTGGCAGGGGAAACCGAAGTACTCAGAGAAAAGCTGCCCCAGCATCACTTTGCCCACCACAAATCCCACTTCACCAGACCCAGGATTGAACCAGGGCCGCCACGGTGGGAAGCCAGTGACTAACTGCTTGAGCTATGGCACGGCTGTTATAAAGTATACTTGACTTCAGTTCTGTGATGATTAATGAGGCGCACACAGTATCAGTTTATAAACATTTAAAACCATATTTTTGTCTCTTTCCTGTTCACTATATAAACATGTGGCATATAAATTAAAAAATTAATCTTTTACTCACTGAATATGTGATAACCATTCCGTTGTCACTGATGGATTCCAGTCCGGTTCAATTAGAGGATTGAAAGTTAATTCTCAAGAGTTTCAGCCTGCTTTATTATTTGTATTCTTGTATAAGTATAGATACGACTCTTACATGTTATATTTCTGCATCCTGTTGCATTCCAGATATAATACTTTACAATTTAAAATAAGACTCCTACATGTTGATAGGATTCTTTCACTTATATTACATTCTGGGCCACACCATAGCTCAAGCGGTTAGTCACTGGCTTCCCACCACGGTGGCCCGGGTTCGATCCCGGGTCTGGTCAAGTGGGATTTGTGGTTTCCTCTGCCAATCTTCATTACACCAATTGCTCCACAATCACTCTCACCTATCATCTGGGGCTGGTACAATAGGCCAGAAGTGGCCGCAGTACAAGGGACTTAGTCCCACCCCACTAGCAATAAAAAAAAATATTATACTTCAGGATCCTGTAACTTCAGCTTTTGTGTTTCAGTTGATGGAAATCAAGCAAGAAGTATGTGATGAAACAGTATACCATGATGCCGTTGACAACCCCTTAGATGAGGAAGATGAAGTTGGTGATGACAATCATGATGAAGAAGGTGAAAGTGAAGAAAAAGATAATGACGGTGATCAAGGATCTGAAGCTTGTAATGACAGCAGGTTAGGAACACTTGGGTGATAATGTGGAGCATGTGAAAATATTATAGCTGACCAGAACATCAGCTAAATAATCTGAATTACTGTGAATTAAAACAATAAACCATGGTTTTACAAAGAGTGAAAGATAGTATTAGCCCTATGGAGGCAGACTGAATTGTGGTGATTGTGAAATCAGGTAAATAGATGAGGTAACGAGAACAATGTAATGTTCAAAATTGGTTCAGCTTTCAGGAACAGAAGTATTTAGACAAAATTAATGAGCTTGAAACAAATAGTAACAACAACAAAATTAGAGACTTATATAGCCAGCCTTATTGCGTACCGGGGGCTCTTTCCTCGTGGTTAAGCAGTTGGGGCATGAAGCTGACCACTCATCTCCAAGTAGTGATAAGGTCAAGAAAATGTGGATCTGTACATCAACACCCCATACGTCTTCATGGTGTAGTGCCTAATTAGTTATGCATGGGAACAACGGTACTGTTTATAGGGTTATAAATGTACTTAAGAAGAGATACAAAGCTAGAAGTAATTGAGAAAAGAATGAGAATGGTGATCTGCTTGCAAATTCCTAGAATATTCTGAATAGGTAGAACAATTACTTGAGACAACAAATCAGTGTACATGGGGTTTCTTATGGTAAATGGACAGAAATGCAGTTAAGCAATTAGCGTGTGAGCCTATACTTAGGCCATGGAAATAGGTTCCATGAATTGTGGGGATGGGACACTATAACCTTCCCTTTTTTGCGTACCACTTTATTTCCCTCCAGCTCTCTCTCGTTTATGTCAATCAGCCCACAGGGCTTGCTTCTAGAAGGTTATGACCACCAACATTCATGTGAATAGAATGACTAGACAAATAGAGGGAAATATGAGGAAGTACATAGAGGATGAAGTGTAAGAACTCAAGGGAAATGTTCATCCGTCACATTTCTTTCTATGGGGAGCCACAATAGTTCAGTCAGTAGAGCGACGGGCTGCAGGCTGGATGGCCCAGGTTCGATTCTTGGTAGCACAAGATTTTTCTCTTCTCTACAGCATCCACACCGACTCTGGGGCCCACCCATCCTCCTATCCGTTGGGTGCCGAGGGCTCTTTCTCTGGAGGTAAAGCAGCAGGGGCATGAAGTCCATCGCTCACCTCTATCTAATGCCAAGGGCAATCAAGATGGAGCTATACCTCCATTCCCCCATTTTTTCATGCGCACAGGGATGACTTTACATTTTTATCTTACTTTTTCTATGGCCTTGATGAAGGTTTGTTTAGATTTATAAGACTGTTGAAAAGTTTAAAAACTATAAATCATCAGTAACTGATAAAATCTGCACAGCTGATCCAAGCAGGAGGTAAAAAATTACTTTTTCAGATCCAAAAATTGAAAGTCTTGTTAGACACTAATGTGAATGCTGAGTTAGAAGTGGACACAGAGATAATTATGTTCATATGTTTATTTCTTATCACTAAAATACAGGCAAAATCATAACATAAGGAAAGTTAAAAAAAATCTGGTGACAGGAACGAATCAAAATTACATTTACAGATAGATCAAGAGCTGATTAAATTTGGGAAATGCTTGCTGCCGTTAGGTTCGGAACGTTTTATCTTACCATCTGTTATATAGTTCACGTCTAGATACCAAAAGTGACAATTGTTGCATTTATATATATATATTAACTAGCAAGTTATTTCATATACTTGTGTATCTTTTTACAGGGACTGTTATGATGGTGTTGCAGCCGAAGTTAAGGATCAGTTGCCTGAGGAGGAGAACAGTTGTCGTGATTCAGATGGAGACGTGATTGTTGAGCATTCATCTTCAGCAACCGACATGCCAACAGATGAAATTCCTGGTGAAGAAAATAAAGACACAACCAGTACAGACTATGCCGACCTTGCGGAACATATCAGTTCCAAACACAAAAACGTAGAAACAAAACAAGCTAGATATTCATGTCGCTTTTGTTCTAAACCCTTTGTATATCGCACAAGTTTACAGAAGCATGAAGCTGCACCTCATAGTGGAAGAAACTGTAAGTTTTGTTTGAAACCATTTACAGATCTAGCAAAACTGACAAAGCATGAGAAAATTCACTGTGGAATGGAAAGCCACATAACTAGAAGTGAGAAGACAAGAAATGGAAATCAGTCTAATATGGCAAATGGGACAGAGGTCTTCTCTTGCAAGTTCTGCTCTAGACAGTTCAAAATTCGAGGCCACTGGTGGTGTCATGAAAGAATGTATTGCGATGCAAATCCTGTCAGACTTACAGATAGAACCAAGTCGAGTGCACTTACAGAAAGAATGTACGTCTGTAGGTATTGTTCTAAATCATTCATCCATCGTGGTAGCTGGTGGCGTCATGAGAAGTATTCTTGTAACATGAACCCATCATGCAGTGAAAAGAGAGTGAGTACAGACACAGGAAAAACAAAACAGGGAGGAACAGATCTTTATACATGTCATTACTGTTCAAAGAGCTTCATTCATCGAGGTAGCTGGTGGCGTCATGAGAAAACTCACTCTGGAGCTAAACCATTTACTTGCAAATACTGTCCCAAAGCATTTGGTGAAAAGCCTCATCTCCTGAGGCACGAACGTGTTCACCTTGGGATAAAACCTTTCTGTTGTGGAGTATGTGGGAAGGCATTCTCTGATGCGTCAAACTTGCGAAATCATGAGAAGATCCATGACAGACATAAATCTTTTCTGTGTTCCCTGTGTGGTAAATCATACTGCAACAAAGCTTTGTTGCTGAAGCATGAACTTGTTCACGCAGGCTTACGACCGCACAGCTGTGAGATCTGTAAAAAAACATTTGTTGATGAATTTGATCTCAAGAAACATGTAAAGTGCCATAATGAGACTCGTCCATACCTTTGTTCTGAATGCGGCAAGGCTTTCACACAGAGCTGGCAGCTTAAGTCTCACGCAAACATCCATGCAGGACTGAGACCCTATACATGCCAGGTATAGTATTCATACGCCTTGTGGCGTATTATACTCGGATAATCCATACAAAATTTTAAATAAACTAAAGTCCCATCATCAGGTTTCCCCCCCCCATTATACTGACAGTTCTTACTTTCCTTGTGACCATAGCCAGTGTTGCCCCTTCAGATACTGTATACACAAACGTCTGCTATTACAACACTACAATATTCAAAAGTTTCGCTTCAGTTTTGTCTCCATTAAAGGTTTACAACTTACAGATACTACAGACAACACACACTAAGAGGCGTGCGTGCCCGCTCATATCCCTCTTTCTGTTGACCCATGTTTAATTTCCATGCAATGATGGTGGTACGGCCATAACTATAAAACCTACATTTTGTGTCCTCTTTTTCAATGTTGTACTGGTGAAACTGGAAACTTTTCTATCTTGTTAAATAATATCACAGCTAAGACATTTAACAATGTGCATATCACAATTTTTGTTTGTAATGGGTCCTTTCCTCTTACAGCCATCACATAGTTTCTTATTATGAGTATGACTCTACAGCCCTTTGTTGGGCCATCGCTGCTTTTTCAGTGTCTTGATCCTATACAGTTGGTAGGACTCCTTGGATTGAGGATCAGCCCATCGCAGGGTCGTTACCTACACACAAAACAACACAAACACAGAAATACAGACATCCAGTGGGATTTTTGAACCCATGATCCCAGTGTATGAGTGAGTGAAGACAGTTCATGCCTCAAACCATGTGGCCACTGCAACTGACACTTTTAAGTTTCTTATGCCAAAGTCTAAAAATTGTATTCATTGTGTATTTCTTGTAGTCTTAAAAACTGTCTGAAGCCCTCGTTTTATTTTATGATTATTTGGTCACCTGCAGTAGAGTAAGATATTTCAATAGGACCCTTATCCTATTATTATTATTTTGGATGGGGTGGGTTTCCCCATGCACTGCGACTAGTTGTTAATCTATTGTGCATTCCCCTTTAATATTCTACCAGTCGCCATGCCCTTCCAGTACTGGTGCTCGCTATCAGCCCCATTCAGCCAGCGAGGTCGGTGCTCTCTGGCAGTGGTCCCCGATACTTCCCCATCTACCAGAGGAATTGGAAACTACTTGGGCGGGAAACGTCCGTTAATTTTGCTCAGAGGTCTCCTAGAAACATGAGGATCTTTTATATGCCGTAAATCTACGACACGGGACACATGGCTTAAAGTCCCTCCCAGAGGACTTGTTCCCTAAATTTTTCCGCCCTTAAAAATTCCACAACCTCTGCCAGGTTTGATCCCACCTACCTTGAGTCATGAGGTGGGAACGTTACCCCTAGACTACGGAGGCCGCTACCCTTATCCTAAGTATGTTCTAAGTTCATATCTGTCTCTGTTAAAAGGAGTACGAGACAAACTACAACTTTGTCTGACTTCTTGGTTTATCATTTCTTTCTCGTTACTTTTCCAACATCTTTTGTAGAGATCTTTGGCTTGTTATATAGACGTCCAGTGCTATAAACTAGGTGCTCTGGGTATCTCTTCACCATTATTTGTCATACCTTTTGTCTGCATACACTTTCAAAAGCCTTTCTGTATCTGTAAAATTTAGACTGTGTGTATGTTTCTTGGTTATGTTCTATTCTCCTTTCAACAGTTCATTTCAATGAGGAAATATCAACCATTGCTGAATGGCTTTTGAAAGCCTGTTGCTCTTCTAATAAAATATATCCTGAAATAGCAACATTTTGGTTATTATGTGCAATTTTAAGTTCTCATGGCAGAGAATTTGAAGATTCTCAAGTCTTCTAATGTGTGATGCTGCCTCTGTCTTTCACCATGAAGACGGAGGGAACAGAGTCCTTCAGAATGTTCGTCTCTGTTGTACTGGCATAATTCGATTTCATATGATGGCTTATAATCCATCATGACAAGACATTCTTGAATTGTTATAAAATGTGTAAACCTAAGCTTAGCGTTCACGTCACATTTTACCTCACAAAAATGTCAGATGAAATAAGCAGACACTGCTGTATTTATAAATCTTCGATGGTAGATTATTAGATATTGGTGAACTTGTCTGAACAGATGGTTTGACACATACCCACCTCGGCTATTCCGTTACCTCAGGAGTACCAGAAGGAGAAAGTAGGCAGTGAGACAAGAATAATTTCTTTTATGACCTCATACACCTAAAAACCTCATATTACCAATTTTCATATATAAGAACAGTGAAGAAAGCATGATGTTTACTTGGCATTGTGCCCTTTCTCTGTGTTTTCCCAGTCACTTCACAATGCTGTACATAAAGGGAACAAATATATTACAATTTAGGCTGGGGCCATACGAGTGCACAAAATGCATCCGTTGTAACGAACGTACTTTATGACTGACATTGCTGAGGACACCACACAGTTGCAGAATGTGGTGCATAGTTTTTTGTCTGCAATGGAGCCAGAAGAAAGCGTAGCATTCGTCTCGTCTATTTCTACAACGGATGTCATGATCGTTACAACGGACACATTTTATGCGCTTGTGTGGCCCCAGCCTTATAGTTATATAACTTAATTATTTATATTTGTGACCTAACATTATCAAAGGTGATGGATGAGATTGTTGGGGTATGTACCACATATGGGGATGATATAGAATTAATTTAAAAAATGTCAGAAAAGACCATTTGGAAAACCAGGGTATAGGTAGACAAAAAAATATCATAATTTTGTATCAGTATGAACTGGATTCAGATGGTTCAGTACAGAATCTGATAAAAGCTTTTTGTGACCAGGGCCTCCAGGTTTTATACATAACAGCTGGAAATTTCTTGACTAGTTGAGCAGCTACCAGCTTTCAAGAAATATACTGCAGCTTAGATCTAGAGTTTGTTTGGTTTGTTGGTCAGTTGGTAACCTGATGCTCGGTGTAGCAACATAATAAAGCAACAGATTCTGAAAGACAGGTCCTCATTGTTGTAAACGTTGTGTTAGCTAGACTACTTCTGCATTTCATCTCCATGGAAATAGCATGAGAACAAGCCAGCAAACACACCCTGCTTGGACTAATTACATGATTCTTTTTTTTATTATTGCAGATATGCCAGAAGTCATTTAGCGATTCATCCAACTTCCGATCACATCAGAAACTGCACATCACTGGGCCACGCCCTTTTCCTTGTTCACAGTGTCCACTGTCATTCTATCAGAATTCTCAGCTTAAGTATCACATGCGTGTACATACAGGAGAAAAGCCTTTTAAGTGTCGCTTCTGTCCCAAATCATTCCGTATTCGAGCCAAGCTACGAGCTCATGAGGGAAGCCATGCTCTTGAAACTGAGCCGGAACTCTCAGTATCGCAAATAAGGCAAGAGAATATAGTAGTGGATGTGATTGCAGAGGAAGTGGTAATAAGCACATCAGACATGCAGCTGCAAGAACAACAGAAGTAGCCTTACTTTAATCAACAACATAGCTGTTTTACTGTATTTTCTTCACCACAAGAAAATTCCCTTGCAGAATGCTCCTTAAACTTCCATTTGAGCCTTAAGATCTGAAAAATACGGGCAGACCATATATGAAAAACTGGATTTCATGTGGTGGAATATGTCAGTATTAAGAGTTTATATAGATTGTGATTTGAACTGTGGCATGCCATGAGAAAAACTGTTCTGTACCATCCTGAGACAGCTTCTAGATTAAGTTCCAGTAATGGTCTAGTGGTCAGAGTTCCTGGCTACAGATCCAGAGGTCTGGGTTTGATACCTGGCACTATCAGATTTTCTGAGAAGTAGTGGGTCTGGAATAAGGTCCACTCAGCCTCATGAGGATAATTCAGGAGCTATTTCAAGGAAATAGTGGCTCCGGTCTGGAAAACCAAATTAACGGCTGTGGGGATTTGTTGTGCTGACCACGCGACACCCTCTATCCACTAAAGTTGGCACTAACTTCGCCGACAAGCGGCGGTCACTCAGTCAGTATAATTCACTTGCGGACTAAAGCCATGGAGTTTTTTTTGTGGCAGAGAAAGAGCAAATTATCTTGCATACTGCCATTCATCTGTTCATTAGTAAACACACAGTACAGTAATAGGGATGTTGTGTATGTTGTGAAAGTTGGTTGTGCTATGCTTCCAAGTAAGAAATTGATATTTGAATTGAGAAAGTTTTACAGATGAGAGTGAGTAAGCACAATTTGTTCAGTATTAATGATACATTGTCTATTTTCAATTGCATAAACATTTTTGATGTTGTAACTATTTTTTAATAATAAATACGGTTTATACTATAATATTAGTATATATTTGACCTATCACCAGAACACAGCACAGTACAGATCGAAGATACAGTTTGAAATATGCAAACTGAATCAATAAGAAATATACAAATATATTGTTAGGCAATTTAGAAATTCCTCTAAAACACTCACCTAAATGTAAGTGACCTAACCTAACTTCAATGACAGGTCGCCTTTTCCCAGGAAGGGATACTAGTAGCATAATTGATAAGAGCCACTGTGAGTAGTGACTGTCATGGACTTTCTGTATCCCTGTGTACTAATGAAAAGTTATATTGTCTGCGTCACAAAGCATGATGAAACAAAAATGGAGTGGTAAAGAATCACATGGCCGGTCACAGTAGCCGAGTGGTCTAAGGCATGTACTGTCTTCGCTCGCTTGGAAACTGGGATCGTGGGTTCAAATTCCACTCAGGGCATGGATGTTTAGTTTGTGTGTCTGCGTTTTTCTGTGTTTGTATACAGGTAGAGGCCTTGCGACGAGCTGATCACCTGCCCAAGGAGTCCTACCGAATGTGTATGTAAGATCTAGAAAAACCAAAGTGAACGGAGAAGTTCATGGAGGTAGGCCTAGGCCCACTGGGGCTGTAATGCCAAGGGGGGGGGGAGAATCACATCCCCTTAGTAGACTGGCCTCAGGCCAACCATGGGATCACAGATTAGTTTCCTTGCTGGTAGGCTTCCATGAGCAGCAGCAAAAAATTTATATCATAAAGGTCTTCAAAAATACTAAGTAAACTTTCTTTTTTTAATCCTTGGGGTGAGATAAGACTGGGTCCCTTGTTACTTAGACCATAAATGGCACATTGCACCAGCCAGATGACAGATGAAGAACTGGAGCATTTGGTGGAATGACAATTGGCAGGGAAACTGAAGTACTGTGAGTAAACCTGGCCCAGTGCTACTATATCCACCATAAATATATGCTATGACCTTGGACTGAGCCCAGGATGCTGTAGACAGAAGCTGACAACTGACTGATGGACTGGGGTGAACGGATTTCTGAAGTCCTGATGTCACAAACGCTACATAAAAATTTGATCACACACTGCATAATGGACAGATTACATAAATCTAAATTATATATTCACTAGGTCGCTGGTTCAAGTCCCACCAATGAAGTCACTGGATTTTTTCAATTGACCTAATCCTTCCAGCAGCACTAGGCCCTTAGGTTTACTGAGCTTCTATCAGAAATGAGTACCAGGAATTAATTAAATAATTTCCTGGGGAGTAAAGCACGGCCGGCATGTAAGGATGACAACCTTACCGCCATCTTTGAGCCAATTGTCTAGATAATGTGGGACCCTCAACGTCTCACAACCCTATGGGCCTTCATGGCCTGGTACAGGGATAGCTTTACTTTGCTGGTTTATTATTCCACCTCCTCCTCAGATAATCACTATGGATTAATAAAAAGACATTTTAATCAGTTTTATGTAAATTCATGCTATTGTATTACAGCATCCAGTTCGCTGTGTATTCCAGTGCTAACACACTCACTTCACCATTTCTGTGCAACTTCGTCCATACATTAAAATCCACAACACAAAGGCTCCTTGTGTCTTCTTCTTATTTATTTAACACTACATGTTTTGGCCTAATGGGCCATCATCAGGTGTGTAAGATTGTAGATGAAAACTACTGCTCCATTGTTACGCTGTTGTATTTTGCATTTTAGGAGTAATGTAAAATGCTTACAAAATATTTTAAGTTATTTTTTAGGTTATCATGCCATGGTTACTTTTGCTGTGCGCACATCTTGCAGGTCTGGTGTATATGTAGTAATGGGTTATATTAATGTTTTATTTAAGAGATGGGTATGTTATACACTGTTATTCTATTTCTGTAACTGTAAAGATACTTAAGTTTTTTGGTGTGTTTTATTTTCTTTCTGGAAATCTCATACACCTGATGATGGTCAGTTAGCCCGAAACATCAAAGTAAGAGTGTTAAATTATATAAATTCATACACAGTTTAAATTAAAATTAACTGTGTTGAGAGATATGCTTTTCTTAGTACATTTAATGTATTCACCAAACATACACTTTCCTTCAGTAACTTTTAAGATCACAGAGTGTGGTGCAAGGAAGTATAAACAAAAAGAATTCAAAGATAAAAACTAATGCTTAAATTAAATACTCACTGGATGTTTACCAGGTCAAAATTTGTGAACATATATTTCACAGAACAAGGGGATTCATTGCACAGTTCATATCATACCAACAATATTCTCATGGAATGAGAACCTTTCAAACATCAGCCTTGACTACACTATGTCACTCCATTTCACACATATGTCACATGACAGCCTTGCAAGCCTTGCCCTGATACTCCTTTTCCAGTTACAATACTCCGCACTTGGCACTGGAGCACCCTAAAAATCACATACCGTAATAAGCATAAAAAGATAAGTAATTTATATTATTTAATATATATGCAGAAACTGCCTTCTAAAAGAAGGAAGGAAAGATAGAGGGGCGGATAGGAGTGACAAGAAGACAAGGAAGAAGACGTAAGAAGATGCTGGATGACCTTGGGGACAGAAGAGGATACTGTCATTTGAAGGAGAAAGCTCTAGATCACATTAAGTGGAGGAATTGTTTTGGAAGAGACTGTGGACCTGTCGTCTTGACAGATTACTGATGATGATGATGATGATAATGTATCCTACAGTTTTACGCATATAAACAACGTACATGGCTGAATCCAATAAATATATATGAAGTACAATTTTACTTCAACATCCTTGTAATTTCAGCTGTAACAGTTAATGACCCTCACTGTAAGTAACGCAACTTTTCAATAAATACTTTTTCAAGTTTTATATATGAAAAGTAAAGCATACTTAGGCTTCATTTAGACCTTTAATCTCATGAAGCCTTCTATACTAAACACAGTATAATATTTCAGATGGATGCCATGATTTTCAGAGCCTTTAAATGTTTGGTGTATGGGTACTACAATTTTCATTATTTTATCATTAACATGTTTCTCATTCATCTTGTAAAAGCACCCACTGATAGTGCCACCATCAATGAATGATATACTTAATTACAGTCTCAGTTTTAATTTCAAATCAGAACTGAGTGTGCCTCAATGCTGCATACTGTGGCACTTTACCACTGCAACAAGCTACACTTAACAAAGGTTCCAAAAAGTTAAAGAGAACTGACCATTCTAATTGGTCACTGTGATTTGATCATATTTTCTGTATACATCTAACACAGATGTCATTAACACATGTATCTATAAGAGACAACAGATGTGTAGACATTACAAATATATGAAGATAACAATTTTCCTAAGATTTTATTTTTATATAGTTGCAAGTTTTCACCATAATTGGATTGAGTCGGATTAAACACATCAAAATACTGAGACTGAGTTTGAGCTTACCTGGTACCATACTACTCTATCGTACATTCAGCTCCTACTTTGGTGAGTGCCTCCTTCAGCTTCTCAGCTTCATCTTTGGGCATATCTGCCTTTACAACTGTTGGCACACTCTCCACAAACTTCTTTGCCTGAGAAACGAATTCTGTCATAAAGAAATCTGGTAGACCATATTTCAAATTACAGCATTCAAGTTAAGTTCATGGAACTGAGTAAGAATTGTAATGTGTGTAATCTTTCAGAATCTTTGAACGCTACAGCACGGCAGATTAATATGCAAATATTTCATACTGAATTTGGATATATTTTTTTAATACCGTATTTACGCATGTATAGGCCGCACATTTTTTGCCAAAAATTCAAGAGGAAAACTGGGGTGCGGCTTATATTCGAAATCACACTTCATTTAAAAAAAATTATATTCATAATTAGTAATACAGGGTGTTCTACTCCTGAAATAATATTCCAAGAAAATTATTTTTTCTATAATTTCTGTCTGAAAATTGTGCTGCGGCCTATACATGTGTAAATACGGTATGTTACAAAGCAAATTTCCTGTCTCAAATTACAGTGATTTATCAGACCTAAAATTTCATCCAACTGCCATGTTGTTTTCTGTTTTCCTAAAGGATTAATTCATCAGTCAGAAGGATATGTCTGTATGTATGGCATGAAATCCTGGAAAGGTTGGTATAGATCAAGTAAGACTTGCTTTGACACAATCTTCAATACTCTCCAAAGTGGGATATAATTACACCTAACATAAATTCCTGTAACTTACCTAACTCCCAACCCCAACTGTCTCAAGATTTAGATTTTATTTATGATCATTAAACTGAGCACAAAATTCAGTTTTTGTCAATGAAGAGCATTTCTTATGAAGATATGGAAATCCTATACATATATACTGAGTCTTACCAGAATTAGGGTTTTCTTCCTTATACAGAGGTCCTACTATATGTCCCACGTGTAACACTGGACCTTACATCAACATATTCATGAAAATTTACTTATATTATTCATATTTCAAATACAAATTTGTAAAAAAACAGTAATTCATGGTGCTGAAAATATAAACATATTCCAATAAATCTTACTAAAAACCAAACTAATATAAATAAGATTTTAAATGAAGCAAAATAATTCCACAATTTATGTATCAGTCACTAAAACTGTTATTTCTCTTATCCAAATGCCGAACTTCAGACAGTTCTACCTTCAAACAGTACTTACCTGAACGAGATTCATTCCCTCTAGCAAGTTCTTCACTTCTTTGATTAGAGCAATTTTCTGTTTCTCATCAAATTTAAGCAACTTCACTGTGAAGCTAGTCTGCACCTTCTTTGGGGCTAACTCCTCCTCTTCCTAAGGGAATTAACACTAATGTCAATTTTCTGCAGATTTTAAAATGGAAAATATTACTGAAAAAAATATATGTCCAAAATTTCATTAGTCAAAGGATTTCTGTATTTCAGAGTCCATTTTGAGAGTTTTTAATACACCCTATACTATCTCCACACAGTAGAGCCCTTCTTAAGAAACTAACAGTCGCTCAGTTAATAAAAAATGCTCTAACTTTATGGAACACTAAAGTTCATTACTATGATCACAAAGGCCTGCCACTGGTTCACATTCTTAAAAACACAAATCCAATCTACACTGTCCTACACTACCTTATTCCTCTGTGATCTGTTTTAATATTATCCCCCCATAAACCATAAAATATAAAACTTACAGTAGTTCATTAGTTTAAATGTTGTATGCATTATTGTTCTGATTACTATATTTGCAATTGGGAAAACTGACAGAACTATCATTTCATTGCATGTTTTTGTCCACAGCTGATAAAAGCAGAATTAAGTATCATAAAAAGTCCGAAAAAAGCCCCCAAAATCTGCCCTCTATGTAACAATCACTTTTACTTATTGCTACCATTTCCTATGGGGCACGCAGTAGCATAGTTGGTTGAGGCACTATGCTACAAGCCAGATGGTCGTGGGTTCAAGTCCCGATGAGGCCACTGGATTTTTTTCAATTGACCTAATCCTTCCAGCCGAACTATGGCCCTGGGGTCAACTCAGCCTCTAATAGAAACGAGTACCAGGAATATTCTTGGAGGTAAAGGGTGCCCGGCGCATAGGGCTGACAACCTTACCGCCATCTATGAGCCGATTATCTGGAAAATGTGGGAACCTCAACATCTCTCAACCCTACGGGCCTCCACGGCCTGTTGCAGGGATACCTTTACTTTTACTTTTTACCATTTCCTATATGTTTGCTTACAGCCACAGTCCTTAATTCCCTACATGTGAACCATCATCATCCATGTTTGGTTTACACTTGTACCCTGAAGATGGAGACGGTATACTCCTACAAAATGTTGGTACCCATCTACCACACTACACAACCTCACATCCCAAAACACAATATTTCAACTCTTCAGTTGTTTTTTATTAGATGTCTTATGCACCAATTCTATCTTTATGTGCTTTAAGTAAATTATTTTCTAGATGTACAAGATGTTCCATCTATGGCTTTAAACTAATCTTAACATGTTACACACAAAGGTAAAGCTGTCCCTGTAACAGGTCATGGAGGCCCATAGGGTTGTGAGATGTCGAGGCTCCCACATTATCTAGGCAAAAGGCTCACAGGTAGCTGTGAGGTTGTCAGCCTTATGCACCGGCCGCGGTTAATTAATTCCTGGTACTCATTTCTGTTAGATGCTGAGTTGACCCCAGGGCCATAGTGCGACTGGAAGGATTAGGTCAATTGTAAAAAATTCAATGACCTCATCAGGATTTGAACCTGCGACCATCCGGCTTGTAGCATAGTGCTTTAACCAACTACGCTACCGCAAAATATAAAAGCAACATGGTTTTTATTGCGGTGGCTATCTCATATGAAACAACCAGATTAACGATTTCTGGACATATAAAATTTTACGTTTTCATGCTAGATAAATTCTTCATTGAAATTCCACATATTTTAACTGTTTGGATATGAGAGCTGTTAGTTAGTTAGTTATTTAGAGAGGGTGGGTTTCCCCATGCACCGCGACCAGTTTGATCTATTGTGCTTCCCTCTATGATATTCTACCTGTCTCTATACCCTACCGATAAATGGTGCATACCATCAGTCCTGCCGAGCGAGCGTATGAGAGCTGTTAAGTCCAGCGATGATGTCAAACACCAAATAAATGCAGATTAGAAGGGCCAAAGTTTTGAAACAAGCACCTGTCTGTAGTACGGACAGGGTTAAAGTTGGAAATGTTGTCTCACCTCTGCAGCTGCAGCTACCGGCACTGCTGAGAAACCACCCATTGGCATAAGCGGTGCATCAGGTAGATTCAGCCTCTTCTTGAGAAGATCACTCAACTCTCCAACCTCAATTAGGTTCAATTTTGTGATCTCATTAACCAAATTTTCAATTTTTGGAGAGAATATCTTTGCCTCCCCTTCTGGCTGAGGCACCTGAAGTGGTGCTTCTTTGACAGATGTCAGGGGTGCATAAACCTCGGCACTCTGATTCTTCTGTGACTGCGTCTGTGGTTGTGTCTGAGAACTCTGTCTCAGTGTGCAGCTGAAAAAGAGAATAAAATGGCATAAAAGGGTCAAAACTTCATAAAATTTCATTAATCTTGAATTATCTGTTTCCTCCATAACCTAAGATCAATACAAAACAAACATATACATTATTCCAAAACCCGCACAGTGTTGGGTGTATAACACGCGACAAGTAACTTCACGCCTTATTTGATATAGCGAATTTATTGAACACTCGCTCTCACAATCACACAATTTACAATCTCACAACTACTGCCATCGGCAGTATCACAAATACTTCTACTGTAGTCAATGTTATTCACTTGTAACTGGCTCAATCCTCACCACTCACTATTACTGAACAGTGTTCGCTGCTCCTTATTTAGCCTCGGCACGGACAAAACAGAAAACAGTTACGTGATACGTACCGCTGTTGCCTGACACTGTGTTTACCGGTGCTGCTAGCAACACAGTCACTCTTCTGCCACGTCACCGCGGGGGATGGGGGTGCCCACCGAGCGTTACGTACTGGTGGAAGGAGTGGGGGTATGTGACGTCACCCGCGAAACCACAGAGTTCACGTGACCCCTACTTCCCCTTGCGCAATCCATGTCACAATTCCATACTTGTAATTTTTTCTCCCCACTGATGGTGTCTCTACCTTATCGTGGTGGTGGGGTTTGAGTGCTCTTGAGACCCTGAGAGCTATGGTGGCAGTGGCGTAGCTACTGGTTGGGTCACCCATGCTGGACAGGTCAAAGGGTAGGAGCCAGACAAAGAGCAATACCCTGGACTTCCAGGTTAGAGGTTGGGCGTGAGTCTAACAACCTCACATCATAAAAACTAAATTGTTCAGAAATCAGATAATCAGCCTCAGATGGAGAGAAGCATGGAGACAGATCGTTCAGGAGGCCAACGCTCATCCTGAGCTGGAGTACCGAAAGGATTCTTTTTTCCTACATTTCACTGTAAATGTTCATGTCATAAGGATTATGTTACATTTTCAATTTTCACCATTTCCATGACACATTTCTTTACTGTCATTTCATCATTATCATTACCACCTGTTTAACAGTTGTAAGATCCAAACATAAACATGTACAACTCATTTCTCCACTGCATCCCCAGCCATTCCACACTCCTTTCCTTTAGCTTGATACTCATAAAGTATTCTTAGAATATAGAAATTTTTTGTCCTCCCTAAATGTTGGAACCAATTATCTCAGTTTCTTCCACTGAGTGTTAATACAATTTATGTTAGTTCTTTTCTTCTGCATACCTTGTACTTGATTGAGTAGGCATTACCTTACTCCTCTCCTAATGGGCTAAAATATTTAAATATTTTTGGCATGGGAATTTTTAATGGACATGATGGCAGCAATGTGACTGGTTTCTAAGTTTTTAAAAATGTTATGTATTTTACAATATTCTAGTATAGTTTTGGATACCCATGAAACTAGTTAGGTTGATTAAAAAGTGTTTAAACAAAACGTATAGTAAAGTCCATGTAGGTAAACATTTGTCTGATAAATTTCCTATCCAGAATGGTTTAAAACAAGGAGATGCTTTATCGCCACTCCTTTTCAAATTTTCCTTAGAATATGCAATTAGGAAGGTCCAGGGAAACCAGGTGGGACTGAAATTAAATGGGACACATCAGCTGTTGGTCTACGCCGATGATGCGAATCTATTGGGTGATAATGTAGATACCATACAGACAAACACACAAACTTTAATTGATGCAAGCAAAGAGGTTGGTCTAGAAGTAAACACAGAGAAAACTAAGTATATGTTACTGTCTCATCACCAAAATGCAGGACAAAATCATGACATAAAGATAGGAAACAGATGTTTTAAAAATGTGGCACAGTTCAGATATTTGGGAACAATGATAACAGATCAAAACCTGATTCAGGAGGAAATTAAGAGGCGACTGAACTCGGGTAATGCTTGCTATCATTCAGTCCAGAACCTTTTGTCTTCTCATCTGTTGTCCAAAAACATAAAAATTGGAATATACAAAACTATAATTTTGCCTGTGGTTCTGTATGGGTGTGAAACTTGGTCTCTGACATTAAGGGAGGAACATACACTGAGGGCGTTTGAGAACAGGGTGTTGAGGAGAATATTTGGACGAAAGAGAGATGAAGTGATAGGAGGTTGGAGAAAACTGCATAATGAGGAGCTTCATAACTTGTACTCTTCTCCTAGTATAATTAGAATGATAAAGTCAAGGAGGATGAGGTGGGCAGGGCATGTAGCACGAATGGGGGAAACGAGGAATGTGTATAGGATATTGGTGGGAAAGCCAGAAGGAAAGAGACCACAGGGAAGATCAAGGCGTAGGTGGGTGGACAATATTAGAATGGATCTTAGAGAGATAGGATGGGATGGTATGGATCGGACAGATCTGGTTCAGGATAGGGACCAGTGGAGGGCTCTTGTGAACACGGTATTGAACCTTCGGGGTTCCATAAAATGCTGGGAAATTCTTGAGTAGCTGCAGAATTGGCGGCTCCTCCAGAAGGGCTCAGCTCCATGAGTGAGTAAGTATAACAACTGCAAAGATTATGATAAAAAGAAGGGGGCACGTTTGGAACCAATCTCTGCTGTATCAAGATATTATGCTTACATTCACGTGGATTAAGTACGTCAAAAATTGTAAGCCTTTATTATCCTATCAGATTTCCTGGCCGACATTCAGGTCATGTACCTATAAAACATATCAGGAACGCTGCAACTTGAGATAAACTATTCTGTGCTACCATCTGTTCGGCACGGAGTTGGTACTTTGGCCTATTTATTCACTGCGGGCTCAATTCTGTTTCCATACCAAAGCAGTGACCGTTTTAGGCATAAACATACAATTACATAACCTTACATTCACAATGCATGATTATTATAAAGATGGATTATTAGAGCACTCACCAGCTGGACAAAGCTCTCCAATGCCTAACATTGTTTTGGACTAACGGTCGAACAGACTGCATGTTTAAGCTATAGAGACGCTTTAATATACATAAAAATTTAAAAATGAAACACTTCACTCTAACAAATTCTTGGAGTCTTGGAGCGACCTACTTCATGCGATCTAGTGGTGAAATGTTAAACTAAATCGGATGAAGCTGCAGAACCTGCAGAGCAGAAGGCACCAGTGAAGCAGCGGGTCATTAAATGTGTGTATATCACTACATGGTGAAACAATGGTACCATCTATGAAGTTGCATAACCTTATATCCCAGAAGACCCTAAATTACTGACTGACCGTCAGTCGCAATGTGACTTTGACTTTAAGGGTCTTGAGACGCTTGAGACGGCAGTTAGAACAGCACGAGTTAGCTGCTGTGAGACAGTCGCCGGATAGTAAGGACGTGAACGAGGCAGCTATTGCGTTGGAAGCCGTTACCAGGCGACAACTGGTGAACATACAGTAGACTGAGACTTCGTACATTCTGTAGTGAACTGCAGTGTATGAATTAGCGATAGCGCTATAGTTGTAGTCACGTTCTGTAAGAGTTCATTAAATCCAGTTACCAATCCAAACCCCGAGTATAGCCACTCCATCACGTGACAATATACACATAGAGCCAAACACCGATTAGGACGTTGGCCGTATAGGTACCAAAAGACATGCTGCAATCGCCAAGAGGGTCAAGTTTAAAGTCACGAGATACTTCAGATATAATGTATTATGATTCATAAAGACCAAATATATAATATATATTAGAGTACTATTATCTGTAATATAATTCCTTGTAGTTGTTAGTTCACCAACGTTTTGAAGGAACATACCGCCTCCATCTTCATGGTTGAAAAGTGATTGAAGTAGCTGACTCCACTCCTTTGATCAAACAGGAAGTTTTTCAAAGCATTCTTGAATCTGTATAGTGCTGGTGTCTCCTTAATGTAATACGGTAAATGACTGAACATACGAAGTCCAGTATTAATAAAATTGTCTTTGCATAAACTGGTATTACATGAAACAATATATAGGTCATCTTTTCCCCTTGTATTATATGAATGTATTTCCGAATTGGTTGCAAGAGTATTCAAATTTGATTTTGTGTATACCAGAGTTTCATAAATATACAAGCATGGTAAGGGCAATATATTTAAATAATTAAAATACTGTTTACAACTAGTTTTTCTGAATGTGCATCATAGCTCTCTTTTGCAACTTAAAAATCAATTTAGCATTTGGCAAGTTGCCCCAGAATAATATTCCATATGATAACAAGGAATGAAAGTAGGCATAATATAGAGTACGAACAGACTCCAGCCCTGATACTCTTTTTACTACTCCTAGACCAAAGCATATTTTACATAACTTTTTTGGCAGTTCCTGGGTATGCATAGACCACCTTAAACTCTTTTATCTATCCAAACTCGCAGAAATTTTGAATGTTCTGAATATTTAATGGATGTATCATCAGGGCTTGAGGTGGGGCGGGATGGCATCCCGGTTCTTTTCTAAATGGCTTAAAAGCATCCCGTTACTTCTTTGGCAGTAAATGCAATGTACAATACCCAGGGCTTGAGGTGGGGTGGGATGGCATCCCGGTTCTATTTTCATTCCACCTCAAGCACTGTGTATCATAAAACTTTATTGGAGGGCATTGAAAATGTAGATTTTTAGGCTGGTGAAAGGATTTTGCTATTGTTTTCTTTTTATTAATGATTAATCTATTCCTTTCAAACCATTCAGAAAGTTTATTTACTGTTTCCTCTACTTTACTCTGGACATTGTCTACACTATTTTCTGTTATAAAAATAGTAGTGTCATCAGCGAAAAGTGTTGGATTTCCATGCTCTATGCTAGATTCTAGGTCATTAATATATATAAAAATAACATTGGTTCAAGAACAGAACCCTGTGGAACACCATATCTTATTGGTTTCTTTTGCAATAAACAATTAGNATGGCACTTTTGTGCCGAAACATGTAGTGCGAGAGAGAGGAGTGAGGTAGATAAGTGTATGCACTAGAAGACGGTGAAATAAATCATGGAATTAGTAATTTCATTAGTTTCTTTATGTCTACAGGTAATTTCCAGAATTTGTTCCGTTTTCTAAATATGATTGAAACCAATTTTGTGCAACCCCTCGTATTCCTATTTCTGCCATTTTTCCAAGCAAGATGTCATGATCTACTAAGTCAAATGCTTTTGTCAGATCCAAGGATAACCCTATACTTATTTCCCTTATTTACAGACGGAAGATTCCTTGGACGGGTAATCAGCTCGTTACAAGGCCTCTACCTAAACACAGGACAACACACACACACACACACCAAACATCCATGCCCTGAGTGGGATTTGAACCCATGATCCCGGCTTCTGAGTGAACAAAGACTACTACATGCTTTAGACTGCTTGGCTAAAGTGAACAGCCCTTTCTATAAAAGTATAAGGGATTAATGGATTGTGACACTTTTCTTGTTTTACCTTCAACAGCAGGCTTAGAGACCCCACCTACACATGATTCATCATCACTCTAGATAAGAATGAAGAATTTGTCATTAGTAGAGATAAGCTGATAAGCTACATCTAGGGTGTGGAGAGATACATACAGTGAACACAGTTGTTCAGCATACAAAATCACATACTTCATTAACAGAAACTGAAAAATGGGCATACTACATAAAACTATTGTTTACTCAGCTGTTATATTTGGTAAGGCTTTTATTTTTTTACTTGAAGTCTCACTTTTTTAACATTTGGAATTAAGTCTGAAATTACATCTACATAGAAAATAGATGTAACTGAAAGGTTTTATTACATACTTGTTACAGGTGTTTTGAGTCTTCTTTTTGAGGAAGTGGATGCAAGGAGAAAGATTCTTCAAGGAAGGAAAACCATTACAAGGACATATTATAGTAAGCATTAACCCACACTATGATATACCGCCCTTGTTATAGATCATAATCAAATGTATTGCATAATGATACACATTATATTGTTTTATATATTCACTGAACGAAATGAGTACGAATGCATGTGGGGTACATCTACATGTCTCATCTTATACACTAATAAACAGATTTTGTATAACTTCTGTTATTAGGATCCTGCACCAAAATTTGTGAAGTTTTCAATTTTAGTGGGTTTCAGTACCACCTATCCCATATTTTAAGCAAAGTACAAATCACACTTTCTAAAAAAAATGATCATTGTGCAATACATGGCATAGATCTCATTAAGGATTAAAAGTTTTATGGAAAACATCTTTGTAGTGTATTTTAATAAAATACAATGGCAAATTTAAGGCATAACCTAAGCACAAGAAAAACAAATCAGATTTGAAACTTTGAGCATCAGAATTCAGTAACATAAACTGACATCAGCAGCAAGTGGCAAAGTAGAATTTAAATTAAGCTCGAGTACAGGTGAGCTGACAGAGTTGGCATGCAACCGGTCATCACATTTTTCTCTCTGAATCTATGTGTAGAAATAATATTAAAGTGGATCTGAAACAGAGGGTGCTGACTAGATTCAACGAATATGGGCTAGGATCCAGTGGTTGGCTATTGTATATACAGTAATTAATCTCAGGTTTTGTAATAGGTGAGGAATTTTCTTACCAGTCGAGGGAGACTGTGATGCATGGAGTTGGTTCTAACCACAATTATCTTGTCAACAGGAAACTTATCCGAATTAAATAAAAATTTAGATTTTATATATACACATGTAAAATCATAAAGAACATTTCTGGAAGCTCTGGAGAATACCTTTTCACTCAGATTTGTAACTGGATTTATTTTTTCCAGTACTGAAACTTATTGCCTACTATGTAATTAATCTAGCAGTCAAAACAATCTGGACCCTGCATCTAAAGAATTCAGAGTAGCATAATTTAATCTGAAGGTGATGTATAAACATATGAGTATTTTACAGACCTCTACATTCAACATGAAGAAATGTTATTCAAAAAAGTGGAATAAAATTTTTGTATAAAAGTGAATATTGTCTTCATACCCTGTTTATGTAAATGTCAAAAACTCTTACTAATCTTACAATTTTCAAAAGAATGTAGTGTAATACCAACTTGGGTCCCTGAAATCCATTACCCTTGTTTTCATTAAACATTGAATATTCACTTGTTTCATCATACAAGCCCTCAAAACAAGTTAAGTAATACTAGTTTATTTAAAATACAACTTTTTATTCACAGTAGGACAAAATTAACTGAAAGTCATGAGCAACAATTTTTTGTAAAGTAACATGCTTTATTATTGGCTAACCAAATACACCACCTCAATCTACAGAACTTTCTTTCTTTTTCCACATAATCGCCACTTCTTTGTACACATTTTTCCCAGCGCGTTCTGGGAGTTTGAAAATTCCCCTTCTGTAAAATTCCGTTCCAGCCATCCAAAGACACTGATGCACTGCTTTCTGAATTGCCTCCCTTGTCTCAAAACGTCCACGCAGCTGATCCTTCACAAATCCAAATGGATGGTAGTCGGAGGGTGCCAGATCAGGGCTATAGGAGGGGTGTGGAAGAACTTCCCACCTCATCTTTGCCATTGCTTCCAATGTGATGCGAGCGGCGTGGGGGCGAGCATTGTGCACGAGCACAAACTTTCCTATAGCCCAAGCTTTCAATCATCTCCTGTACTGCACTGTGCCCTATTCCAAGTTTTCAGGCTATTGTGTCCACAGTCACACACCTGTCATCTTGAATGATCTCATCCACTCTTTCCTTGTTGCATTCAGTTGAGGCTGTTTGAGGATGACCACTCCGAGGCTCATCTTCGATGCTGGTGTTCCCATCTTTAAAATGTTTCAACCATCTTCAAACACTGCTCCCACCCATGCACATACTTTCATAAGCACGCTGAAGTGTCTGGTGAATTTCTGCAGCAGGGATTTCCTTTCACAAGAAATTCGATGACAGTATGGTGGCGAAATGACATATCGTTGTCGGCCATTTTGTTAGGAGTGATACTGGTCATGTGATGCAAGCTATTGACATCACAAGACACTCAAGGTTAACACAACAGCTGGTTCCACCTACCACCGTACTCTCTTTCGTCTGCTGTTCCCAGGTTGCATGCAAAAAAAAAAAGTTGCTCACGACTTTCGGTACGAAAGTATTGCATATTTAGAGTGGCAAAGCTCGGTACTGTGACTATGACCTAAACTCTAGTTTGATCCTAATAGTAGGAATTTTCTCTTCTCTGCTGCATCCACATTGACCTTGGTATATACCCATGTTTCCTATTTAATGGGTAACATGGTTTCTTTCCATGTGAGTACAGCTGGTAAAATGTAGAACTGACCACTCACCTCCATCTAATCTGAAGGGATAAAATGCACAATAAAACCCCGGTTTAATATTTCTCTTGGGATCAGGAAATCATAAATGGAGCTAATTTATGATTATTGACCCAAGATCACTGAAACTGAATGTTAAAATGAGGAAACTCTAAATGGGGGTCCCACTAATACAACTTCACCTTTAGGAACCCTTCATGGTGTGATGTTTCACACACGGAAACATCCTACCTGACGGAAACAATAAATAAATATTCAATTTCTTGCAGGAAAACTTCTTTAAAGGTGTATACTGCTTATATGGCACAAAATTATTAATGATCACTATTTTCCATAACTGCTGCTAATGCAAATCTGACAATGTTAACTAGTTTTATCAATACAAGGACTTGAAATGATATGAGCATGAATTCACAAATATTTATTTATATTACAGAAGCAAATGCTGTGCCAGCATGGGCCATTGTGGTGATTGTGTCTTGCTGTATGATAATTTTTGGTGGGATCCTGTATGTCATCATGAAGAAGGTATTTCTTGGTAGTGACAACAGCAGCTCTGGTGATGCCACAACATACCACACTGACGATGAAGTGTAAGGTTTCAATGGCAAATGAATCTGACTCATGGAGAGGGAAAAGTGAAGCTGGTAATATTTCAGTGTAACAAATGACACAACATATCAGAACCAGAAACTAATGCCATCTCAACAGTACTATCTTCTGATAACCTCAACCTCAAGATCATCGGCATAGGAACTGTAGCATTATACTTGGCCAGTGCCTTCCTCCTTTCATATCCAGTACTCACAAGCACTGGATGACACTTTTGAAGGTTCTTGACAATATATATATAGGTTTGAAATAATGAGGGAATGCTGAACTACAACTATGCACTTTCACTTACCAATATTCAGTTTCTAATCCTTACTTTTTTTTAAGAAGAAATATAAGAGGACGTGCAGTATCAGCAAGAAAAAACATATTCTGGTATACATGATCATCTAATGCTGATACCCTAAGATCCAGTTCATTTTGGAAATCCCTATTTCATACACCAGCATAGTATTCACAGAGAAGACTCATGGAAAACAAAGAAAATGATCAGGCTGACAGTGCTCTGCTCAAAATTAAAACTGACTCCTCTCAAATGCAGTTAGGCATGTTAGCCTTTAACTTACAGTCTAAAAGTTCCGTCATTGTTGTTTCATGGGCATAAAACTTTTATTTTGTTACACATTATTTAGAAAGGGCAACATGTTAAAGAAAAATATCCTACATTATATTTCTACTATAAATAAAAGCTTTGCTGTGTGGGGCATGAAAGCAGTTTCTTTTACACCACTCTGTACATGGCTGAATTAAACTCTGAGGAACATGAACCTTCTGTGATGTGACGTTATACAGTGTTCCTCCAAAACACTGGTAAACTTCTACCACAATATATAGCCACACAGCCCAGAAAAGTCCTCTTCATAGTCAATGCCTTGAGGACCTGAAATCTTTACATCACTTAATTGAAATCTGATGCTATGCCTATCAAACATATTATTTTATGGTAAACATTATATAACTTATATTTCACATTTAATATTTCAACTGATAAATTACACTTTAACTTTTATACAATTACAGATTACAGGAATGGTAATAAGAAAAATGTATCAGTGAAATAAAGTTTTTAATGTAAAATAATTTGCACTGTTTCAGTTTAATGGAATTTGAGAAAATGAAATGTTGATACAGAGATTTCAAGGTACAATTTACACATGCAATACATATTCAAAGAAGAAAGTTGTAAGGTAATAAGCACACTGGATTAATCATAAAAGAAACAAAAGGCTAGATAAATTACAAGACTGAGTTCACAAGGACAAAAATTGAAGTTACCAAAAATTCGGCATAACACTGGACTTATTCAATGAAGAAGCGACAGCAGCATGACGACTTTTGTTGCCCAATTTATCATTGCAATATTCTGATATGCAAATCATTTCACTGCTTTGTTCCCTGGAAAAACCAAGTCAATAAATTATCTCCAATTGAAAAAATGACATGTAGTCCAATTTTTACAACTTCACAAAATGTAATGACTTACTTATAGTCCAATCATCACACTTATACTAAACAGGAATGAACATGCTGTTACAAAAAATAAAATCTGACTTCTGAACAGAATGCCTCTTTACTCTTCGCTTGTGCCAGGTGTGGTGCTGATGGAATGCAGAATGCTTATTAAACCTATCACAAGCAACAAATGTACTCCCATTTCCATCCCATCATGACTAACCTACAGATATTAATTATCCATTACACCTGCTACTTTAAAAAAATGCATCCATTAAAACACATTAAATCTATTCTACATTCATGTTAACATAAGCTACTGTATTTTAGATAAAACGACCATGAAAACATGAACTCAGAACAAGCTATTTTTCATTCGGATAAAACTGTCAGTTGTGAAAAAATATAACAGCCAGCTAAAGTAATTAAAAAGTCTTTACAAAACAATTGTAAGCAAAACTTTTTTAAGTAAATATATAACCTAGTGTAACAGCAACCACTGGGAAGACCAAGGCACAGGTGGATGGACAATATTAAAATGGATCTTAGAGATATAGGATGCAATGATATGGATTGGATTGATATGGCTCAGGATAGGGACCAGTGGAGGGCTCTTGTGAACACGGTAATGAACCTTTGGGTTACATATAATGCTGTGAAATTCTTGAGTAGCTGCAGATTTGGCTTCTTCTCAAGAAGGTCTCAACTCCATGAGTAAGTGTAACAGCAACTGAAATGTGAGAAATATATTTTGGTACTAGAGCAACCACATTCCAAAGTTTGTTCCTGGTTTACCAGACCAACTACAACCAAAATACATATTTGCATTATGTGGCACTAAATGTTAAAAACTGAATTTCATCATTATTCAACATTATATGGATAAAATATGTCAGGAAAGAAACAGTACTTACCACATTACAGAACTGCCAATACCTTGACTGCAGTGTGATCTTCCTTGGTGAGATTACTTCTTCCGTGACTTACTGCATGTGTCACAAGAAAGGCCTTTTATTGAAATATAACTATATTTTAATAAATAAGCATAATTCCAATTTTTATGCATACATATACTTATTCTTTCAGTATTATATTTAAGCATTCTGTTGCACTCTATACGATATAAACTCCGTCCTAAGTGCAACAATTTATTGTAGGTCTTTCGTCTTGCTCTCTTCTACACTACGTGTTTCGGCCGCAAACGGCCATCATCAGGTGTATACACTCACGTAGCTGTTACTTTGCACCTAGTTTAAAATTTAAAAACACAGGTCTTCCCAACTGTACCCTTTTTCGTTGCTAATAGAATCTACTTCGCTGATATTTGTCTGTGTAGGTAACAAAGATAATGTACGAATGTTCTGGAGACTAGAGCAAGGAACAGATTCCCACCTTCAACACCTCTAAAGTAACTTGAAGATGTTCTTCAAGAAGAATGGTATGAAATTCCATTAATCACTGTTCAAAACTTGTACAAGTCCATTCAAAGAAGGAATGCGGCTGTATTGAAGACAAAAGGAGCACCATTTCAATCGAGAAATGTGTACAGTATCTGTACTGTTTCCATTATTTTGTCAAACACCTGTACATAAGTCAAGACACGGAAAGGGCTTTTTACCTTCACTGTATAATGCTACTGCAGTCTTATTGGTGCAAATGAAGGTAGGAAGGCAGTGGCAACTAGCAGAGTGCTCACACATGCCTTGACACCCTACCCAAATAACCACCCTCTACTACTCCCATCCTTTTCTATACTGTTCTCTGCTGCCCATTTCTGCATGCTCACCTTATCTCTATCACTTATTGGTATATTTCCAAGAAGTGAAATCATGAAACAGCAGTACAATCGCTTATGAGGAACAAGAAGAAATGTTTTTCATTTGTCATAACAAAAGTCTTCAATGGATACAGAAAAAAAATATATAAGTGATTTATGGTTATTTGTGAACTCATACTAAAATTTAATCTTTGGGCATGTGATATTTAAGCCCGAATTATGCTTTACAGAGTAACAAAGCTGAAAAATTATATGCTAACATTTATTTTCATAATGGTCCGGAGTTAGATTTCTGCATGATGTACTTGTACTGTTTCAGCTACGAATGGGATTGATTTGTACATGGAATCATCATACCATGCACCTCAAGGTCTACATGAGAACAAAATATTGCACAAACAGTGATATCAAAAAGTCACATCTTCCACTGCTTCCTCTATTATTTGAAATTTCAGATAATCTACAGACAGCAGTTATCTCAAAACTGTGTACATACAATATCTGTACAGCACATCTGCCAAAATACATGAAGTTGCACAATTATGATTATTCTACAATACATGAACAAGAAAATTGTTCAGGACATTACCCAACTGATCTTCACAACTGTATTTGAGGAATGCAAAAGAATCCCAATATTCATACACTACATCATCAATATTTTGAGAAACTTCTCTAACATTCTTAAAATGTGATGATGCATTGTTATTCTGGTGAAGAAAAATTTAACACAACCCCTTGCGATGTGTGAGAGCAGAGGAACATGTGCTGAAGTAAAAGCTATTATATAATTAAGAGAATGAATCAATAGGATAAAATAAACGCAAAACGATTCCTTACAATTCCATGAAACTGTCCATCTTTAACACTTAAGACACAACTCAATGTCATAGTAAATCAGCTAATATGAGATTATCCTTCAAACTGATAAAACAGACCACTGGATTTGCCAGATTTATACTTGTATTCGGCCTATTTTACAGCAACTGTCTACATTTACAATACACATAAAAAAAATGGACAACTGTTAAGTTCTTTTTTTTTCCAATATCTCAAAATGCATCCCAAAGCCACAGTTCACACAAAATGTTGATAACTTCATGTAACTCATTTGTCAGTCTCATCTAGAATTCACGTCTATGATACTTGTCTGGGTCAAAGTATGATGTGACAACCACACGGTTATTGAACTTCCGGCCCGTCAGCGACTGCTGTGCCTTCTGGCAATCAATAACGGAATTGAACTCCACAAATACCTGAAAACATTACAAATACATTCAAGTGAGGACATATTTACATACAAAAGTCACTGACTTCTTAATGTTAGTTCTTCCATGTCTTGTAACAAATACACCACACATTTCAGCACATACATAAAAAAAACCATCGCCTGTAGTCTGCAAGCGAACTATACTGACTGAGCGCCTGCCACTTGTCGGCGAAGTTAGTGTCAACACATACATAATTCTCATATTAACAGAACTCCAGTGTCAACACATACATAATTCTCATATTAACAGAACTCCGTGACCTGTAGTTTGCAAGCAAACTATACTGACCGAGCAACCACCGCTGGTAGGCGAAGTTAGTGCCAACTTTTGCGGATAGAGGGTGTCACATGGTCAGCACAACAGATCCATATGACCATTAATTTCGGGTTTCTAGACCGGAGCTGCTATTTCCTTGTTTTGTTGTTGACACTCTGGGGGAAGACCATAAAATTTGGCTTCTTTTATTAACCCCGTGAATGTTACAACTCTCCATAAAAGTATTCGCTAACGTTTCCAAAAGTTAATTCTAAACTTCGAAAAATTTTTATCTACTGCACAACACATGCCTAAATAATCATCAAGGAAAAGATAAACCCTATAAAAACAAATTCCTTCTTCTTTAATTGAGCTTTAAGCACACAAACCAAGTAATATTAAATTGTGGTATCCTGTTATATTGCACAGATCTGACTTTGCGTTTCGCTTTTCTTTTTGCCATCTGTATGGAACGATGCTGCATACAGACGGCAAAAAAGTGGAATGCAAGTCAAATAAACCAAGTTTTGGATAAAAGTATGCCATAATCCAGCCTGCTCCCCAATTTAAGTTTTAAAATCTCAAACTGGGATTTCATTTTAATTCCAAGCAAAGGAATTTGCTTTCCTTAACATATCTCCACACACCAATTCAACAGACAAGAAACGAATATGATGTCAGCAAAAGAGGAAAGAGTCCCGAATAACTGTCACCTTTCCACATCCAGGTACATCCACACCCTCAATGGGTCGAGGGATTTCAACAGATCGAACCACTCCATATTTGTTACACTCCTCCTTTATGTCTTCCAGGATGTCCTCATACTCCTCTTCATCCCGCAGTTCCTCCGGAGTTACCATATTCAAGAGACATAACACCTACGATAACAAGTAACACATTCAATTACATGTGCACATCGTGACAGTACACAAAGTTAAAACTGAAAACTATAATGGCCAAGGATACTGCAACAGGTGTATATGTAGAGACTTCTATCTTCTAGTATGTAACACTGTGTAGTCTGTCAAAATTTGTGTTATATCCCAGGAGACAGAACTCTTTAATTACTGCTGTGGGGACCCAAAATCCTACAAACTGTACCCCTCTTTCACCGCTATAATTTACGACGACTCACTTACCCACCACTCAGCAGGATGGTTTGGCAGTGACACTCTGGGATGGATGGGTTACCAACTTTCCTGACTGTTATTTCATGTGGCCTTCCTTGGTATCTCCACATAAATAACAAAATAGTACCTTCAAATATGCCACGATTCAACATCTACCAAACATTCATAACCTTCCTATTCTCTTAAATGGTTCATAGCCATCCCACAGCAGCGTTAAATAAGTGGGGTAAGAAATGCTTTGCTCATCTCTCTGATAAATGTCTATCTACATGTAATATAGAGGGCAATCATGGTTCTCATTCACATGTCTGACAGGATGGAGTTCATACAAAATAACAGAAATCCCTGTTTATGAGAACTAAAGTAAAAAAAAGTAAAGCTATCCCTGTACCAGGCCGTGAAGGCCAATAGGGTTGTGAGACGAGGGTCCCACATTATCTAGACAATCATCTCAAAGATGGCGGAAAGGTTGTCAGACTTACGCGCCAGCCACACTTTACTCCCCAGGAAAATTATTTAATTAATTCCTGGTGCTCATTTCTGTTAGAGGCTGAGTCAACCCCAGGGCCACAGTGTGGCTGGAAGGTTCAAGTCAATTGAAAAAACCCAATGGCCTCAGCAGGACTTGAACCCGCGACTGTCAAATCTGATTTAAACTATGATTTCTCTATATGGGGTTACTTCTTATAGAGACATACAAGTTGCAGGATTTGAGGTTCTTACAGTGGTGATTATGAAGAGTTCTACCTTGTGAGATATAACACTGTGTAGTCCATTGCAAGTCAAATGACATTTCAGAGGAACATGTCCCCTCCATCTTTACCTCTGCTTGCTACCTGCCCCATGTTGGTTTCTTGTTGGGCTTATTCTCTGACCCTGAACGCAACATCCAAAATGTTGGATGACTTTCGACAGACTGCATGGTGTTAAATCCCAGAAGACAGAATTCTTCACACACATACATGTCTTCAGGAGAAATAGCAACAGGAGAACACTAATTTATAAGGCACCTGCTTAAAAAAATGAATACTGTCAAACAGAAACAGTGACATCATAAAACAGCAAACACCCACCTCTGTGGCTGGACCGGCGCCTCCCACCATTGTAAGCCCTGGCACCTGAATTTGAACTGGTGCCTGCTGGCCTATCTGGGCATTCTTTGCCCCAACACTTGCCCGCTGCACGATCAACTTCTTGTCACCCAGCTGCATACCATTCAAACCAGCAATAGCCTGCTCAAACACAATACACCCTCTATTTCATTTCATATGCATGACCAAGATAACAAAAATATCTTTAAACAATCCAATCAGAAGCAAATCCATGCAATGGCTTTATTAATGCAAGTAAAAGAAGATACAGGACAACTTATCACTCTAATATGTTATCAGAAACAGAGGACACATTTGAAGACACGCTCTTAAACTTCGCTGGGAACAAATTTCCCAGAACGTAAGATGTTCACTACGATATCATTAGTTTAATTTGTATCTGAAATACCAGTAGCTTGTTGCAAATTCACATAAAAAATTCAATAACATCAGAACCCTGCCTGATATTCAATCTGGGACACTGAGGATTTGGACAAGTAAAAATTAAATGAACACTATAAAGATATATTCAATTACCACACTGTTCTTAAAAAAATCCTCCAACTCCAAAACCGTGAACAAACTATACCAAAAATTTCAAAAGGGGAAATCATTTTTAAATGGAGAACTGGTAATTACAGAATAACCACTTTTAGTCACAAAACTCACCTGGAAATCTTGTAGACGACTGACTTCAACTCCATAATTTGGGCTCAAATTTTGAATACAGTTTCCAACATAAATTATTATATGAACTCAAAAGTACTGAAGCAACATTGTTATATTTTGTGGTTGTTCTGAATATTTACAAAGTTTACAAACGCAGTTATTATGGATAATGATTACCCCAGTTCTCTGGTATGTTCCCCATTTCCACTAAACACTATTTTGCTTGAACCAAAATCTGTACATTCTGTCTTTCTGATTAGGTGTCATGGTGGAAGTGAAACTCCTGACATCTAAAACTAAACTGTGATTAAAAACTGAAGAATGGAATTAGAAGAACTTAATGCTGATAACAACACTCACAACTAGAGGGGAGGCTGCAAATAACAGAAAAAAAAGATGTCCACTCATACAAAAGTAAAACCAAAAAAAAAAAAAAAAA